GTCCTGGAATTCCCAGGCTTTGAGTTGAGCAATCTCATCGTTGCCCTGGAGCAAGCGTTGGCGTAGCTGGTCCAGTGCACGCTTAAGCGTGGGATGCTTGTTTTTGAGTAGCTTGAAATCAAAGCCCTGCACATCCGTTTCGTTTAATTCCTCTGATGTGTCACCATTGCCAGTACCAGCCTCCGGCTTAGGCGCATCGTCCTGACTCTTGTACTCTGTGGATTTCAAATGCAATTCCACACCGTAGCCGGATAAACGTACGGGCCGATCACTTCGCTTGCCCAGGTGATGCCGCAGCAGGTATCGCACTTTTCCTGTATTTGCAGCGGTTTCTAGCAGCTTGTGGTATGGTCGAAATGCGGCAGTGCCCAAATCAGCATAGAGCACCACAGTACGGGTGTTATTCTCACTGCCAGGATACACATGATCGAAGCTGTAGCTGACCAMATCAGCATCYAGACTGCTTTTGGCAACTGGCAGTTTCAGTTTTTGCTCCAGCTCCGTATAGCTGCAGGCGAGCTCTGTGCCCACCTGTGCGAAGATGCTGCCCTCACAGGCTCCAGCTGTGCGAAGCTCGTCGGCCAATTGGAAGTGCGTCTGGATGCGCGGCGTCAAACTGTGCATCGCGACGACCAGCTTAAGGAGTGGCAGTTGTGGGGCACTCACATGCGAGCGCACCAACTGCAAGGCGGCGTTGTACTGTTGCGACTCCGTATCTGCAAAGGATAATTCAATTAATATTACTATCCCAACACGAATCCACATTCAACACCCACCATAATCGTTGAGCGCCGTGTCCAATGCCGTTACAGCCTGCACATAGTCCCAGAAGAGACCTGCCTGCTCGTCCGCCAAATACTCGGCAATTTCTAAATACAGTGGCGTTTGTGTCCATTTGGCATTAATGAGAGTGGTAATTGGATAACTTTGACTGGACTCAGCAGCCCCCACCGAAACACCAGCTGGCGACAGCAGTGTGAACGTCGCAGTTGCCAGCAGCAATACACACACAAAACGTAACATTTTCAGCTGTGAATATATCTGTGAGCTCTTCTATTACGTGAACATGTCGCACTTATTATAAAAGCTTGCGGACTTAATAAGTACTCGCTGTTAAATTAATTCACTTTAACTTTTATTTTCTACCGAAGTCTTAATTAAATTTAAGGCGAAAAACTGATGTGGCGTTTTACCGGCCGGACAAGCGTTACCACCTTGCTACGAATGTGWGGCTCAATATGAAGCTAAACTGAACCAGTTCCAAGAGTAGTTCTCTTTGGATAAATTATCAATAACTCGATGGATTATTAAATAGTTATTTGAACAATTAACTGACATTTATTCTATTTGCTTTAATAAAAAAAAAAA